TGCACCCTTAACTGTGTAAAGACTTCTAAAATTTCAATGTGAGAAAGAAATGCAAACAAAATTGATTCACTGCCAACATTAATGCAGTAATAAATATTTTTCTCCAACCTTACATGTGTTGCCTGTCAGTTTTGCTACGGTCATGTGCAGTCAATACTGCAATGCTGCTCTCGCAGCTCACAGCGGCATCAGGTTCTTTACGGATTTAAATAACAAGCCTTTCATTATAGAATAACCTGTCTGATGGACATGACAGAACACTTCACACAGTAAATGCAGTGTTTAAAGAAAACAGGCAAAATAACTTGAAACAGTTGTCTAGCATGTAGTTTGTATAGCACATATGCTAACTAGCACAATAGCCAATTTAGCTAAAGTTATCAGCTAATATCGCTGAAGTTTTAGCAAGTTACAGATCACCTTCCTTTAAAATGTACTAATATTTCAGTTGGATTAGCTATTACACTAGCTAGCTAACATACTTGCTATACTAACTGTTTTAAATTGTTTTGCCTCTTTCCTTTAAACATGCAGTTGTAGCATGTAGCACTTCAGTTCTGTTCTTAAAACTGAAGGTTTTTCTAAAGTGAAGCACTCATTTAGTTTGTAGCAGTTTACTTATGTACAATGCAGTGCTTGCAGCTAATAACGTGACTAAACTAAAATTGTCTCCTCAAGATTCAGGCTCATGAAAAAGCTTGTGAATATCCTGCCTGTTGTATGTGTTTCTTTAAACCCTTAAAATCTCAGGCTTATCACATACTAAGGCTTCTTATTCAGTAACTACAGGGACTTCAATGCAAACTGGTTGAACTATTCTTAGGTTATAGAAGTGTGTAATAAAACTTTGGGCCTGCCAGTGCCATCCATATTTTGGTAAATATTAGCTGAGAAGTTTGGTGTATAAAGTTTGCTTCTTAAGTTTCTGTACAGGAACTAAAAACTTATGAAACCTAATGGCTAGGTTAGTATCGTGCTAATTGCATAGCTAAATCATATGGAATTGTGAAGTAACCTCTAATAGACATGCTTTTGTGGCTTCTGACACTGTGTGACATATTGTTGGAAATAAAATGGGCAAAAGTATATAGCATAGCTAAAAACAGCAGCAACCATCTTGATGCCTGAAATTTGTCTTTACTTTCTTCTCGGTTGATTGACTGCATCTAGGGCAGAGAAAAAAAAATATATTTTTTTATTTTTTGCTGAACTGCAGTTTTCTCCAGTGCTGAAGTGACTTTCTGACTAGACATGGATGAGATAAATACTGGAAGAACTTATGTATGTTGATAAAGCTGCAAGGTGTTGTGGATAAGTATATGAGTAGGTGTATGTCCTTAAGCAGTGCCTACAGCTGAATACAGATGATAAACAGCTGGCCTATATAATGAGGTGGTCTATATTATTTCCATTCACAACTGCAGATATAAATTAGCTGGTCACCTTGTAATTTCCCATCCACTTATTTGAAACAGTATTTCTGCCAATGATCAATATCAAGCACATAGATATCAATTCAATTACAGCAGGCGATGTTTGTGAGGAGTCTGGGGAATCTGCTGAGTGACAGCTAGCTCCCTTTAGGGGCACACAGAGACCTCCAACACAGCCACCAGGAGACATCTTGCCTGTCAGGATATCTGAATCAATGTGTGTGTGTATGTGTGTGTGTGTGTTTATGAAGTGTGCAGAGTTTGACCCTGAGGCACATGTCACTCTTCCTCTGTGTTTTCACCTTAGAGAGTTGCAGATTCCCCATAAAAATAAATTATATTATGCAGAGGTGAAAATGGGCAAGTTTAACTAGGGCACATTCTGGTTTTTATTTGTTTGTTTGTTTGTTTTTTAAATAAAAATCTAATATACCTGTTCCTGGTGCATTTTTGCATTGAAATATACCTTAAAAATTTCCATTCATTTCAAGCAGTAAATGCTTTAATCTAGCACATTTCCTGCTACGTTCACGTTACCAGGCTAAAGTGGCACAAATCTGATTTTTTTGCCTTAATGTAACACAGTTAAATTTTTTTCATAGCTCTGAGGACAGATCTGATCCTTTCAAATCAAATCTGAGACACTTTCATATGTGGTCCTAGATCAGATACATATCTGATTCGTGGCCATGCAACCTTCATTACAGGTTTGTTCACACTGATGACAGATTATTATTTTACTGACTTGCTTATCTACACAAATGTAAACTGTCAAGTTATAAAGATTGCATTTGAGCAAAAAATCTGCACTTAGCAGTGAGACTTTTAATGTGAATTTAGCCAAACATAATAGGGCAATTCAAGAGCTGAAAGGGCTCAAGAGGTCCAAATACGATTTTTGCCTTAATGTGACACAATTCTGATGTTGTCAGAACAGTGTGGACGCACAAATCTGATCTTTTCAAATGCGATCTGATACACTTCTGTCATATGTGGTCTTAGATTGCACACATATCCAATCTGTGGCCATGCGACCTTAATGAGAACACTCAGATCAGAATTCATGTGTCACGGTGTGTGTGCTGTCTTTCAGTGTTAACTTTGCAGCGATAGCTAACCCGAAGTTAGTGCCAGTAAACAGTGTGAAAGCAATGCATCTGACCCTTTTTTGCCTTCATGTCACTCTAATAATGAACACCTAAGAGATGTTCAGAGCTAATTACTGTCAGAGCAAAGACTTGTTCTGCTGGTAAGCTTGTTTGTTGTTCACAATGCACATGGTTCATTCACATGACGTTAATGATTAGGATGTGCACATATGGGTCGTTTTAGGACGCAGGTTCATTCACATTAATGACAGATTTGAATCACATACCTTCAAGTTAGAAAGATCATATCTGAGCCTAGGGGTCTGAGAATGGCACAAATTCCAAATAATATCTGGTCAACAATGGTTCTGTGGTCAGAAATTGACCAATGATGAATTGGGTTGAGGGGGCTAATAAATTTGTGCAGCAACAAATGGAGTACAGTCTGTAATTGTTCTTCTATATAGTGGATCTGTAAGGTAGGTGGAGCTCAGTGAGTGGCCAGTGAGTGGAAGTTCAGAGTAAGATTTTCTTTTTGTTGCATATTTTAATCAGGAAGTCTCAGCATGACTTCTTCTTTTTGTTCTTTCAAAAGTTTTGTAATTTAGCTCCCTGAGACCTTGCACTTTGGAAAGAGGGAGGAAAAAAACAGGACATTGTCAATGTTTCAGAGACTTACACCTTTAAGTATGCATCAAGGTTATTCAGTAGTGCAGAAGCCTATTCAATAATAAAAGAGTCTATGTGAAATGAATGCCTTCATTAGAGCTTGTTAGGAAACTCTCTGGCTGTGCTGCTCATCCCTGAGATGATTCTTAAGCAACTTCATTTGGATTTTTTTAACAAGTAAGGGCACTGGATCCATTTAACCTGTCCAAACTCCTGAGCTAAATCACACTGCACTGATGATGTTTATGTGCCAGCGACGAGGCCAGGCGTCCACAAAGGAACGCTACTCAGCAATGTATGCATAGCCAAAAGGCAGTGAGCTTGGAAAACAAGGTTTTGCAATTACCCAGATGATGGGAAGGCTAGTCGCTGTTCGCGGCGAATATTATTTCTCATTCTGCCATAACAAGAACACCTTCACTCTCTCATAAATACACAAAGCCGTCCTCTAAAAACAGAGCCCTGCACTGCCCTGATTACTGAATGTGATTATGCTGCTTGCACAGCTGTGCTAACATGGACATGACAGCTTATGAAAAATGCACGTGCTGTACATAATGCACCACTCATTCACACTCTAGATAGCTTCAGTGGCCGCCAAAGATCCATACAGCTGCACAAAGTCCACTAACAGCCAGCGGTTAAAGGGAAAACCACGAGCGCCAAAAGTCCTCAGGCACATCCATGCGCTGAGGAATGCAAATGCTAAGAAATGCTGAATGCACTCAGAGATATACCCTATTATTTATGGAGATACATCTTATTATTTATAAGCTCTCAAACTGGAAATCTGCATTTCGCATTTTTTAAGGTCATGTGAACATCTAGCATGTAAAATGTAAGGAGGGCTGTTTAATTGCAGTTTTATCACAGGAAGTCTGAATAATTACACAGACTGAGCAGGCAAATGTTCCTTTAAATCTGCACAGCAATTATCTGCTAGGGGAAGCTAAGCAGACCATTTATGAAATGTGCATCAGGCATTATAAAAACATATTTAAGCAAACCTAAAGACAAAAAGGACATTCTTGATGTCCCTCAGATTAGATGGTGCAGTATTTGAGATTAGACTCATACCTGTCTTGTAGTGCTTGATGCAATATCTGAGATTAGACTCATACCTGTGTAGAACTTGGCGCAGAATATAAGGTTAGACTCATTCCTGTTTTGTAATGTTTGATGCAATATTTGAGATTAGACTTGGATTGTAGTGTTTAATTCCATGTCTGAGATTAGATTCAAATGCGTGGTGTGGTGCCTGGTGCAGTCTATGAGATTAGACTAAGTCCTGTTTTGTAGTGTTTGATACAGTACCTGAGATTAGACTCAAATCTGTGTTGTAGTGTTTGATACAGTATCTGAGATTAGACTCATACCTGTGTTGTAGTGCTTGATTCAGTATCTGAGATTAGACTCATACCTGTGTAGTACTTGGCGCATCATATAAGATTAGACTTCCTGTTTTGTAATGTCTGATGCAATATTTGAGATTAGATTCATACTTGAATTGTAGTGTTTAATTCAGTGTCTGAGATTAGATTCAAATACGTTGTGTGGTACTTGGTGCAGTTTATGAGATTAGATTCATACTTGAATTGTAGTGTTTGATACAGTACCTGAGATCAGACTCAAATCTGTGTTGTAGTGTTTGATGCAGTATCTGAGATTAGACTCATTCCTGTTTTATAGTGTTTGATACAGTACCTGAGATTAGACTCATACCTGTGTTCCAGTACTTGGTGCAGTATCTGAGATTAGGCTCATTCCTGTGTTGTAAAGTTTGTTGCAATATGTGAGATTAGACTCATACCTGTGTTGTAGTGCTTGGTGCAGTATCTGAGGTCAGACTCATCCTTCAGGATAAACTGTGGAAGGGTCAGTCCGTCGGCCACCTGCACAGGACCATTTTCTTGCCACTCAAAGATCAGATCGTTCATTGTGTAGCCAACTGCAGAGACAAGAGACAAAGTAGTAGTGTTACAGAACACATGTTTCTGTTGTATTGTCAGAGGATGTTTGTCGCAGGTACAATTTTACTGAAAACATGCCAGCAGCTTAGGTGCCAAAAGCCATTCTGGAAGAACACATCACTGAACATTTTTGTGTTTTCTCTGCTCAAGGACACCAGATTTAACCTGGATTAATTTTTAACCTTTAGAAGCCGAGAGTTACTACATTTGTTTTGCTATACTATTTAACTGATATTGCATAATTACACATTTAATTATATAGTGAGTTACATTTTATGTTATTCCACAAAAGAAAGCTGCATTCATAAGGACTATTAATCAAACTGAATTTGTTCCAGTTTGCTCGATTTGTTCCAATCAGCTATGAGTTACAACAAATAATTAGTATAAAATTACAATATGCTTTTCGTATCACCAGAGATGACTGCATCTAACTTACTTGTTTCATATAGACTTCAACAGAGGCATTATATAATCAACTCTGCTAGTAAAAAAAGAGGAGTAAGTGCATGCTTTGCCTCAGACCAAAGGTTTCCCATAATGCAGTAGTATAACCCAGAAGACATGACAGTGCACACTTTCTGTGAGCATTTGGAGACTACTCCAATAAGTCATCAGCCGAAAAAAACACATGACTCAATGCAGAGGCTTTATGAGTCAGTAGTTGTATTTCAGCTTTTCTGCCTGCTTTCTGCTCATTTCTAAGACAGGACCTTTTCATATTGCTCCAAAATTGACCGCATGGATCGTGTATAGTTGTCGTTTTAGGAAAACGACTAAATGTACCTAATGTTAAATTGTCTTAGCTGTTACTCTCTTTCACTGCCTTATTCTCCTAAAACTTTGTAAGAATCACATCCTCACATTGTCTGAGCTTTGTAATAGGCACACCACAAGCCTTCGCCAACCGCCATTCATAGTAAAACAGTGCAAGGCCCACAAATGAAGACAAATTATCTCTCAAAGCATTAAAACTGTGCCAGTGAAAATATCCCCAGGGCTAACTGCAGTGGAAAAGAGATGGTGTGTAAAAAATGTTTAAATAAATTATAGCAGATGTAATTAGTAGGAATCTTGGCTTTCTTTATTTAGCTTTCTGCCCACTGATGTGGGGGTTGAGGCTAAGGTTGGCTGGGCAGGCAGAGAGGTGGACATCGCCTTCACTTCAGCCACTTACTCAAATAGGAATTTTCATCCATCTCCTCAAGATTACAAGAATATGGATAAACCATAATTTGTTTCACCATTCACATGTTGGAATGTGATTCAAAAGTAGGTTGAAAACCTACATGTCTTCCCAATTTAATCCTCTGGGGTCCACAAAGTCATCTGTGCATCAATATTGATGTTTCTATATGTGTTTCTCTATCTTTGCGGTAATACAGTGCAGCAATACAATTGAAACATTTCCTGAACCTATACAGTCGCCCTTTCCATTCCATCTTATCACAAGATTGTCCGTGACTGACCAATGGATACTCAGGAAATCATTAAGGATTTACACATTACATCAGAAAACCTTCATTCTTCGTTCAGTCGACATTGGAGATACATGTGAAATGACATGCAAAGAGTTTACAGCTGCTGAAGTTGCTGCAGTGGTTTTGTAAAGTAGCAACAAAGATAGCGGAGAATTTCGATATGAAACATAGGGGTATCATGCTTTTAAGAAAAATTTAAGACATGCAAAAATCAAGAAAATGCCCTTAGACCCCAGAGTGTTAATGGAATAGACCAAATCAGAATGTTTGTAAACATAAACATCTGAGTGGATAACCTGCATCTCATACAGCAGGGTATCCTGCTTGGCTGGCTAACTTTAAAGCTACACTATGTAAGTACGGGGGATTTGGTATACAAAAACTCCCAACCCAGAGCCTCTGACTTTTTAATGATTATGTCAGGCCTTACCGGGTGACTCACTGCATGAAAACAATATTTTAGTGTGTTTTTTAATCTTCTGATTCAGAGTTGCTACTTCTTTAAATCTTACAAAGTATAGCCTTAAACTTAGTTCATTCGAACCATGGATTCCTGCCTCATGATGCTGGATCTCTTTTTATCAGGCTATATCATCATCACAACATTCACACTTAATCTGCCCAGAATATTGGATGATAAGCAGCTCTTGCACCAATCAAGGCCGAGTTTCTGATCAGTTTTTTTTGGCCAGTTTTTTCTTTTCTTTTTTTTTTGGTCAATTTTAAAATGTCAATCATGTGAAAAATATCACCTTTCAGTGGAGGAAACAAATCACCCTACACTGATATCAATAATATAAAGAAATAAGCACTAACATAGTGGCAGGGATGACAGCTTTGCTTATTGCCATCAAATGCTACATATTTACTTAGCATGATTTCTTTATCCTGTTTAGAAAAATAAGGTGCTAATGTTATGTTTCACTTGACTGGCTGACAGAACAAACATGGGCACTCATAGTGTTGTGTGTCTGACCAAAAATGGTCAGAATTCATTTTACACGACCATTTTCTAACCTCTCTTTGTCCCTTAGAATTAAACAGGCTGTTTTGGCTGCTGTGTATTTGATACTGACACATGTAAATGTGTTCTGTTCTGATTAGCGTCCATGTGCTGTGCCTCCTTCAAAAAGTTATTCAAAAGAAGCACAGCACATCTCTGACTTTGAACCAATATGGTACAATGGTCCATTTATAGACTGTGGTCTTTGGTGGTGATTAGCTGGATTTTTGTGTCTAAGATTGTCAAGATGGACATCGAGCTGGACTAGACAAGACATACTCTTTGCTGTTTGAGCTGGTCATGTTGGTAAACCAGCTAAGCCATCAAACTCAAACAAAAACGTATTCTATGCTGGTCAACCAATGCGGTCAAGCTGTATTGTTTTGCAGGATCATTTATAAAAATTGACAAAATTCAGGCGGCTGCTAATGTTTTTAGCTATGCTATCTACTTTAATACATTTTAATAGGTAACAGCTTGTAATAAAGGAAGGATGTTCTAATTTTAGCAAGGCTGTTTGAGATTACTTAACAACTCAACATGGTTTATAGCAAGTGTGTTGCTACCTGGTGGGGTATAAGCCTCCATTACTAGCTACATCAGCTCTGAAGCTCCAGTACAAAACTAAAGAAGCAAACATCAGACACCAAACTACATCCAAGATAAGAGAGGATGTGTGATCTTTTACTAAGCTCTTAATTTAACTTCAAAAGTGACATCTTAACAATTCATTTACTACTACATTTGTTTGAGTGAGAATCTAAACAAGACAAAAATAGCTGTTCAGTTTTATTATGTAATGTATACTGTCCCCATCCTGTGGATGCACTTCAGCGAGGATTAGCAGCAAAGGTTTGGTGCTTTTGCTTTACATTCCTATCAGGCAACCATACCAGCATTTCCTGGGGCTGCGAATGAGGATGTGGTGAAATATGCAGAGATAGAGACAGATTTCCACTGACAGGGGGGCTTCTGCTAAAAGCAGGAACCACTACATATAGCCATGGTCCTGAGAGAAACTGTATGAATTATTGCCACATGGTGCTGTGGGCCCTGTGTAGGAACAAGTGCCTGGCATGGCTTACTGGACACTTCGGCCACAGCGTTCACTAATGTTTAAGCAGAGAGAGAGCACTTACGCTGCAGAGTGGCCGAGTGACGCTCCAGCCTAAAATCTACAGGGATTTAAATAAGACAGTGCAGTTAACTATTCACCCCAAGGCCCTGCAGTTACTGCTCTCTAGAATGGGGCACGCAGTGCCGTCACTTTGAGTTCATTTTCAAGTCAAAGTTAATTATGTGGCTACATGTTCGGCTATGAGTTTATTTGGAAGCTGTTTTAAGACTCAAATACTCCATTAGGATTAAAGTGAACATGGAATATTATTAAGTTACAGTATATGCAGTGGTGTAAGTAATCCAAGAAGCAATTTCTTCTCCTGAATATAAAGCTAAAATGTAAATAATGAAAGGAAGTAGAAAACATGTTCATTCAGACACATTATGTATGATCTACAAAAACAATGAAGGTTGTAACTTCTAAGAGGTTTAGTACAACCCTTGGAGGGCAACACTGAGTAAAGTTGATTTACTTGTGCTTGAGTTTTTCTTCAGCTGGAAGTTCTTCACTATTGTAGAAAACTTCGTATTATTGAGAAATCATCAGTTATGAGGACACAATGTTTAAAATACTTCACTCCTCCAAGTGAGGATAATGTAACATGACCACAGGGGTGGTGCCACATCGCCAAATATGGTGGGGCAAAATATATTTGTTTTAAAAATGAAAAAATAAATAAAAAATTAAATAAAATTGGCTGAAAAGTATGGTAATGACTGACAAAACATAACTGATAACTTGGCCACTGACTGACTAACTAAAACTAACTTAGATTGCTTTTGTCATGGCCAAAAATATGGCAGTCTATAGAAATCTGTTGTCACTAAGTTATATTTTGCAGAGAAGCCAAAAATGTACCAACAATTTTGTCAAAAAAAGCATTTTACAGCATTTTGATTGTGTATTTTCTGTAGTTCTTACTTGGTTAAAGCCCAATTTTAATATTTATTTTATACTTTTTTAAAACTTAGACAAAGCAATGCAAAGCTTTTGTTACACTTCAATCAAAATGAGAAATAAGCCAGCAATCAACAGGAGTGTTTGGGAAGGTTGTAAATGCAGTTCCTAGGACTGACTGGGATTTGCCCCTGGGCAAGGCATTTAATCTCCCTCTGCCCCTACCTTTGTGTGTGTGTGTGTGTCCCTCCACTTGACATGCCTCATACCAAAACGTTCATGAACAATGCAAATACAGCAAGATAAGTCAGCAACTGACAGAGCAGTGCCTGTGAATAAAGAAGGTTATCTGCCAGAGGTTAACCAACTGGTGTACTTGTGCTTATAGTGGTCTTAATTTGTGCTTATAGTGAGTGGTCTATGAGGGTAGGGGGAGTGATTTTTTTTTCTTAATTAAGTGGCCTTAAATCCATCTAAAAATGGTGGGGCATCACCCCAGTAGTCTGAAAAGTGGTGGGTTGAATGCTTGTTCACCCCTTTTGTTCCAGAATGAAAACTGTAACGTTGTGTTGTTTGCAATTTCTAGAAATATCACTTTTCAGAGACTCCAGTAACTAGCTGAGTAGCTAATGCAAATTTTATTTGCATGTATGCAAGCCCTGTTCTACCCCCACCTCCCCCCCAGCGCCACCAATAAGAAAATAACCATTACATCCAGACATTTATCACTGCAAAAGCGCCACACTGATAGCTTCTACAATGTGGAGTGAATGTGCAGCATCAGACATGAGCTACTGATGCATTAACATTCTCCAACAGAGCAATGAGGTTAAAAGATGAAGGCTAGCAACATGGAAGTTAAAGACAGTATGAGATCTCCTGTTGGTTGTGAGTGGATTAGCCAGATGAATCAGGCACAAGAAAACAAGAAGCCCACAGTAGCTTAATTTAACCCCACACAGGTAGGTGAACCCTAATGGCTTTGAAACCTCTCATCAAGTCTGCAGGTGACCTCATCACAGCTAGAGGCTGCAGAAAAGCGATGACACATGAGGGGGAAAAAAAACAAAAAAAAAGAAAAACAAGTGTTAGACGATGAGTCTGCAGTGTTATGCAATAAGCTTGCCCTGAAGATGGAGAGAGAGAGAGAGAGAGAGAGAGAGAGAGAGAGAATCAAATGCTGTTACTCACAGCTCTCCAGCTGCATAATACATGTCTGAACATCCATGGGGAAGTTCTTCAGATCCATTGGACATGAAAGCGTCAGGGTCAATCTGTAAACAGCGGAAATAAGAATACTGAATACAAAAAATGCTAATACAATATATCAACCATATCAACCATACATATCCATATTTTTGATATTTTCAACGCTGAACAGCTTGATTTATTCATTTTCCTTGCATACATTATGCTATCTTCCGGTTCACCACATGCAGACATGCTGTATCAGTGTCAGTCCACACTGTGAATAGAAATTTATTTAAATCCAATGTGCGTCCTGTGAATTCGTCACAGTGGGTATAAAGTGCTGCTGTAAAGCCTTGTTTGCATCAAAGCGAGGCGCTGGGAGTGAGCTGCTCAGAGCTACTTTGAGCTGTGCATTTCCTGAGCAAGGGCCAGTAATGTAGAGTCTGACAGCTGCAGATCGGCCATGTCTTAATTATGCTCTCTCTCTCTCTCTCTGTCTGTCTCCTCTCTTTCCCCTACCCCATCCTCCGCGGTCCACCATGCGTACTCCATTCGAAGTGAATCCTCCATCATCTTCAATCTGCACAGCTCTCTATCATCCTTTTTCATAGGCCTGTGTATAATCTTAACATCTGCATATTAGCTCCATTAACTCTCCCCACCCTGACCACCACCTCACGCACACCATCACACTCTCCTTCTCTGAGATCTGTATACACTGGGGATGTAAGTATGGATACTGACTGATGGTCTTAGCAGGACCGGATCATCCCATGGGTTTTATAGGTGCATGCCCAGAAGCCCGACCCACTAGGGGGCCCTGAAGAACAATTATGACCAAATCTAAACAGCTGTTTTGATTCATGGTAGGAACTTTACTAGCGGCACAGTGAAAAAACTACATTATTTTCAACTTTACAGCCAATCATACTCCTGATGCACTCCATGCCTTTCCTTCACTTAATTTTCTCCTCCAATCACTGCATAAGCAGGCATTACATTGGCCACCACTACATCAGTCAAGCTTTCAGGTTTTTAGCGGTGAGCTAGCTTCCTCTAGATTTTCAAAAGATGGGGGGATCTGTAAAACCGGGACATGATAAAAGTAGAAGACAGCATTTCAAAGCCAGATATAAAATGTTAGTCAGTCATCAGAGGTAAGATATAAATGAAAAAAAAGGCAGTATGGTTTATCTTATGCTTAACGGTTGAGTTTTTAAGCTTGATGCTTTTTTTGTCTTTATTATGTACATTTTAGCTGTCCAATTTTAATTTGTTATCTAAGTGCTGTGCTAATGATGAGCAGATGTACACACTTGTTATCATGTAAGTAAAATTGTTATTGTTTTTTCACTATTAGGAAAAATATGCAGTTATGGTAATGACATGCCCAACACAGCAGTTAGCATGCTGCCATCGTAGTGAGATATAGCCCCAAGGGCCAAGATCTTGATGATCTGGACCTGGGTCTCAGTATTGTACTAGACACCAAAACTGTGCCGATAACATGATGGAAAGATCATTTTCCCACTTTGGAATACGACAAAGCAGAAATTAGCATAGTATGGAAAACACTACAGCAGTTTTAGCTTAACGAACAAGAATGTAAGGTGGCTCATTTTTATGTCCTCATCAAGGATATTTAGCTAATTTTTCCATGAAAGTTTGTTTTGTGAAGCAGTTTTCATTTTCCCAGAATAGAAACCTTGACAAGGTCTACAAGAACGCCTTCAAGAATTCCCTTTTGAGGCGAGGATCTCAAGACAAGTTCCCCAAAGAGGTCAGCTTACAGTAGCTGTTCCTAGAATACAGTCAGTGTTGTGCAGGTTGAGAGTGACAGTTGAAAGGTACCTCACTGTCTTTATTTTACATTTGTACATTGCCTCTGTCTAATGTTAATATTGTTTTGTACTGTGTCCAGTGTTATAAATGGCCAGGTTGTAATCAGTGTTTCTATGTAAGCTAACCAACATAATAATGTGTGATAACATTAACTGTTTGGTAACAATGCCAGTTTTAATTTTATTTATAGATAATTTGACTTTTTCTCTCGTGTTGACAGCTTTTAATCTTCTTTAAATCTGCACTGCCCTTCCATCCAGCGCTGAAACAACAGTTGTCAGTTGTCTACTTTTAATATAGACCAGTGCTCCTGGAAACCCTCCTACAGGCTTCAGCTCCAACCCTGATAGACAGCACCTGATCCATCTAATTACTGCCTTCAGAAGTCCTTGAATAGCTGGAAGGAGGTGCATTATATTTGAGCTAGAGGTGAAACCAGCAGGATCTCCAGGAGCACAGTTGGAGACCACTGATGTAGATCTTGTCAAGCTTGCTCCTGTCTGGAAATGATAACTGTTCCACAAAACAAACAACATTTTGTCTGGAAAAAATAGGTAAATACCTTTATGAGGATGTAAAAATGTGACTCCTCTACATTTCCGTTTGTTAATGCTGTAATATTTCTCGTACTATGACAATGTCCGCTGTATTGAATAGGGAAGTGTGAAAAGGATCCATTGTTGCATAGTAATTCTACTTCACAGTTTTGCATCAATACAGTCTATATAGTTGATATTTATTTCCTACATGTTTATTATGTTAATCAATGTGACTGAAATGCCTAACATTTACAGATGGCAGAAGCTACAAAAGGCCAGTAAATGTCATTAGGCTTCTTATACAGCTGCTATATCTCTCTTGCTGTTTGCCTCACATTTACCATTGTGGACATATGCACAGCAGAGATATGAACATTAATCACCGTGATCAGTTTGCAATGTAATGATCCATTGTTATCAGTGGGGAATCCTTCGTGCCTTCATTGGAAGGCCTAATGAATGCACTGGGGGTTCTGAGAACTAAACAACACGTCTCTAATGTTCAGTTCATTTTTATCTTGTGTTTCAACTGCAAGTATTGTAGTAACACTCAAGTCATTGTTAAGTTTTGGCTGGAAACAAAACAGTTAAAATCATGAAAAACCATGGAAATCCGAGTCAGAATTTTTTCTTTTTGTTGTCTAGGCAGACACAGCCAAGATTCACCTTATAGAGTAAAGGACGTTGCCATTCTTGAATATTCTCAGTAGCTTGTTGTCTGTGGTGACTTCATGGAAGTGCGCCCCCTTCTCGTTTGCGAAGAACAGATCAGGCTTCCAGATGGAATCCAACATAGAAGGGTCGAGGTCTAGGGAATCATCCGGATATTCGCTGTAGGCTAACCGTGGGTCATTCCACTGCTGCCGGAGGAAGATGTTGACTCTGTAATCCTGTGAGGAAGAGCAGAGCTTAATGTCAGTCAAAAAAAAAGAACCACCGAACACACAACGGAGGAGAGAGCAGTTCCTCGGCACCTTCTAAATTAGGCTTAAATGGCTGATTTATGGACCTACCTACAGGCATTACTGAGCTCAGTGCTATCATGCTGGAGATTTATAGCAATATAGTCCAGGTTTTACATTTGAACTGACATATTTCTTTGTTTAGGGCAAACATTACCAAATCCTGAATCCGATTCTCTCTGATTAAAATATAAGTCAAGGTTCTTTGTTGCCAAGTATTATACAGTCAAATGATAAGTCAAGGATCTTTAAACATACACTTCTAAAAAATATAGTTTCTCAAGGGTTCTTTAGTAAAGGCAGCTGTTCTATTTAGAACCATAAGTTGTATTTAGAACCATTTCAAGCTTAAATAGTTCTTTGCATGGTGAAATAGTTCTCCAGATTGGCAGAAAAAGTGTTGTATATGGTTCTATATAGAATCTTTTTGAAAATGGTTTTAGATAGCACAAAAAAATGTCAAGCTTGTAACAACAAAATAACTGTCTTTGGTGCTGCACAGAACAATTCTAACTATTTAAGCATGCAAATGGTTCCGTAAGTATTTATGGTTCTTAGAACCATTATCTTTACCAAAGAACTCCTGCAGAGCCATCTTTTTAAGGGTGTATATAACACATTCTCCATCAGTCTGAAGAATGATGTCATTGCCATTTAAGCATGAAATGGTTCTATATATAACTCATGGATCTAAACAGAACCAGAGGTTACTGCAGGTCACAATTGTTTATCTTGCTAATAATGATGAGTGATTTAAGGTCATTGAGAGTCTGAGACATATTACACAAACCGGTATTGCATTAGTTTCCAATCCAATCCATGATTTAAGAAAAATCCACTCATTTTACTATCTACTCTAATTAATCCTGGCTTAGCATACATAATCTGACCAGAAAATATGGTAAAACATGTAACAAAGCTGTTTTCAAAATCTAAAATGTAAAGGACCTACAGAGACAAGGTTGCACTACACAACACATGAAGCACTGTCAGATCATATTATATGCATTACGGATATATGCTTGCATGTTGCGGCCCAGCGGTCAGAAAACTTGGCTGTGATTCAGGAGGTCATGAGGTTGAGACCAGCTTTTGGCTACTGCCATCATGCTCTTGAGCGAGGCACTTAACCCCTCCTTGCTCAACATGGACTGACCCTGCAGTTGGTAAATGTAAGTATCTTGAGGGGGAAAATGTCTGCTAAATGTAGATGTTGTTTGTGTAGAGTAGAGACATGTAATGTTCTACTTGGAAATGCTTTGAGAATATTTGACTCTGTGTCAGATTATATCACATTCATTATTATATACATAATGTTTGCCTTTATTAACTCTCTTTTTACATTATAGCTGTAGCCTACATGATGCAAATCTAAATGATGTAAAAGTCAAAAGAAGAACAAAATATTAAACATTGTAAAGCTTGTATATAAATCAAAATTGTTCATTATAAGGTTATAATGAAAATTTAACAATTAACTGCATGACAATTTTGACATAATAAGACACTAATGATAAAGAGCAGTGAGGCACCTTCAGGGAAGGCCTAATGATTTTTAGGAACTAAAAACATCTGTAATTTTAAGTATTTTTTAATAAATGGAATAATGCTTGTTATAATTAAACTACATTTTATTGCTAAGCTGTGGTTGGAAACATAAGGGCTAAATACCCAAGAGACTGTCCAATCAGAATTTTTTTTCTCCATGGTTTCTTGGGTGGATAAGACAGACTATCTTTCAGATTTGGTTAAGCTAAGCCTTCAGGAGCTGAACAAAAGGCATTAGAGCAACTACCAACATTATTAATCAGTAATTTACTGTGAAATTGACAGTGGAATCAACCAATCATGTTTTGATTTCCAATTAATGAGATCATAAAATACCACTTTAGTTCTTCTTGAAGTCCTAGACATGTCACTCACTGTGAATATGAGCATATGTCTGAGACTAACCAGGTTTCAACCAGAACAAATGGAAAACAGCAGTGACAGCTCTATGCAAAGGCTCCTTGCTGAGTCACTGAGTGTGTTTACATGCACTTAATAATCTGATCATAATCGGATTTCTGCAGTTATCTGATTATTCAAATGGTCATGTAAACAGCATACTCTGATTTCTTAGATTGGAGTAAGGTCTAGAAATCCTATTAAGAAATCTAATAAAGAGAGCTGGATTTTAGCTCAGTAATCATATTTCTTGGCGCATGTAAACTCTTACTTGGATTTCTTTTGGATTTCTCAGTCTGCGCATGTGTGAATACAGACTAAAAACTGAAATAAGCAATCAGCTTTGTCGCAAGATGTAAGAAAAACACTTTTGGAGCGATGCTGAAACCAACTACATGCTTGACAAAATAAAGGATTTGACTTTTCTTCGTCTTAAAGATGATGTTTGTTCATATTTTCAGGAAAAGTAGCACGACGCTTTAAAAAAACAGCCACGGCATAACGTTTAAATTTTACATTACGTTTACGTCATGTCTTCTTCTGTGAGTTTATTGGCTGGTTGACTCATGTAGACCCATTATCTGATTACTCAAGTGCGTGTTAACAGGTTAATTGGATTACTGACAAAATCTGATTTTCTGCAGTTATTGAATTATTAAATGCATGTAAACGCACTCAGTGTAAAACTGAACCATGCAAAGTAAAATGTGCGGAATGTATTTTACAAGCTTTAAATGGCTAAAAAATGTTCTTGGGCACCAGCGTTAGCTTAGTACTAACATACTATTAGAAAACTCACAGGGCTGCTAGCAGAAATTAACATGATCATAGTCGAGTTTTGACCTTTATGGCCTGAACTGATGGCCTAGCTCTAATAGTCATGGTTCACCACCAATAAAAAGAGATCTTGGCTGTGGCTGTATTTAAATTTTAGGGCAATATTGTGTACGTCGATAATTGTTCTCTTATTGGCCAATTGAAAAATGGAATTCTAGGGCACTGAAGCAAACTAGAGTGTTCATTAGGAATTCTGTTTAGCATACAAACTGCATTAACACCAAGGGCATCACTAGGCCTGTTTTAGGCCCCCCCCCAAATATAATTTGGCTCTCCCAAATTAATATACATCATTAGTTTAAATCATCAACAGTATTTTGCATTTATTCTTCATTATTCAACTGTGCTGTTATGTCTCCAAATTCTCAATATACTGTTGTAGGAGGTGCAAACTGGGGTTGGTGCTACTGCTGCTCTGATCCACCACTGCCTTGGCAGTGCTACCAGAGACTTTCTAATATAACAACAGGTCATGGAAATCCTCTGCTGTTTAGCAATAAGGACAAGTGTAACGTTGGCCAATCATATGTCAGTCATATCAGAACCTGATGAAAGGGATCAGGTGCTACTCACGGTGTGAAGTAATGTCAGTCAGTGATCACTGTGTTGTGACAGGATTTTCGCTAAAAGCATACAAAAATAAAGACTAGGCCTTATTCTAAATATAAAATATACAGTCTGAATCAGTACATAGCTACAGATTGAATAGAACAGAATAGAACAGACAGAGATAGGTCATAAAGCAAGAACATTAGCTGGAAACTCAACTATTTTAAGAAACTGAAGAAACTTCACAGATTCACAGAAGAGTTTATTTCCCTAATGTATCCTCATTTGTGAGACAAAATAAAAAATAATAATAATAATAGTAATTACAAAAATATAATTTTTGTGCTGCCAGATGTCTCCATGACCATTTCACCTAGATATGACCATGTCACTAGGCCAGTGTTTCTCAAACACAAGAAATGTGCAGGACAACAGGTGAGAAACACTGACCTAGACTATTAAACATGTAATCACAACTTAATCACACTCAGTCTGGTTGCACAAACTGAGACTGTACCAATCTATAAACCGCATGTGCCAAGCTCCAGTCCTGGCAGGCCAAAACACTGCAGACTTCAGCACACTACCTCATTAAACACACCTGATTCAGCTCATCAGCTAATTAGCAAAGCTTTTATGAACTGAATTCAGAGCATCAGGTGAGGGTAAACGTTAATCTCCACAGCACTTTGGCCTGGAAGGTCCCTAGTTTGACATGCCTACTGTAAGCTGTGTATCTGAAAACATATTTAGGACCTGCAGCTTATCTAAGAGAGAGGAGATAGCATTGATAGACTTTAATACCTTTGTTTGTTCTAGGATCTGTCTAGGTGGACAGAAATCAGTTGTATAAGTTGCACCAACTTGATCAAATAACCATTTTTAAAAAAAATTTCTGCCTATTGCCACTCTAAAAGTTCATGATGAAAAGACATTTTGGAGCCATTAAAAAATATCATCATGGGGGAGCATGCTCCCAGACCCCCTGATTAAATAATAAGCCCCCTAAGCATAAATCTCTAGTGATGCCTCTGATTAACACTCACATTTACAGAGACAAAAATAAGAAGCCAACTTCAGCCTTGATCAAGATACTGAAGTTGATTTGTTCATGTAACTAGACAATACTGATACAAACCAATGATTAAAAAGTAGGGCTGGCCCAAATCAATTGAATGTTTTTTTTGTTACTTTTGTATTCAGTTCTCAATTTAGTAATCTTTTTCATACTTTCCACAAGAGCGCAGAAAACATGAGCTCTATAAATTATCAGATGATAAAAAAAATGTTTAGTGTAAATGTGCAGTAAGAAGCTGGTATACCATGGAGGCACAACTAGTCTGATGAATCATCTCAGATATGTAAATACAGCAGTACTTATTTGAGGATTACTAGTCTCTGGTGAGGGCAGTGATAAAACTGAGGAGCTCAGGCTGAAATCTGTTTGTTGTGGTGAGTTTTGGGAGTTGATGAAGAGGGAAACACTGGCACCACTGCCATCACAATCACTCTCATACAGATGAGTCTGGCGCAGTGGTGAAATTAACTTTAGCCACTTTAGCCTAGCAACTCTTGAGGCCATGGGCCGAGACTAC